GAGAGAGAGAGAGAAAGAATGTTTTAATATTATAATATATGCCACAACGCTATCGCATAATACTGTCCCACACCGTGTACGCGCTAATTATTATCCAATAGAGATATATAACGATATTTTGTGACAGACTTTTTTCTACTCGACAACCGCCCCCGTGGAACAGCCACCTCCCCGGGCCCCGCTGATCGATTAATCCGTCAGTGGCTCGTGTTTTTAGTACGGTTCCCGATCGTGGTCGGAAACCGAGGTCGAACGATCGGCCGCTTGGCGAGGATCCAGCGAGGAACATCACATTTGGATTCGTTGCCGATATTCCGCCGCCTCTCTTGGGTCTCGTCGTATCGTAAAGGGCACTTTCTGCATCGGAGAGAGAGAGAGAGAGAGAGAAATTTGCAAAGATGAATTCCGTGAGAGTCACATTCGAAACATCCTTCCCTCCACTTTGATCGACTATAAACTGCTACGTAAAATACGTTCCATTCGAAAAATAACCTAACGAACGAAGGAAACGAAAGGTGTGTTCGAGGTTGTGCGGTTAAATTTGTCTCCAACACATTCGACAAAATAACCCTCTACGAACGAAGGAAACGAAAGGTGTGTTCGAGGTTGTGTAGTTGAATTTGTCTCTATCGGTAGAAGTATCTTTCGATCCTTTTGGAAGCACCCCCTACGGTGCCTCGACACCCCGTGACAAGCGAATTTTCCTCCATGCGGTTCGTATAATAATTATCCTCATTGAAGAAGCCTGAAGTGGAAATACAAGATGGAAGTGGAGTCGTTTCCTAAGGGTTGAACGTTGAACCCGGTCGATTCGATCGCCAAGAGCGATGATATGTATAATGGCTATACACACGCGATAGAATCCGTGATAGAAATCGAAGCAATTCCTGCCCATCTTTCCACGTGTGCCCGATCGAACACACACCGTATCCCTTTTTTGCACAACTCTGGCTGACTGGACTTGGGTTATTCGTTGAAAGATAAAAATTAAAGGAAAAGAAAAAAAGAAAAAAAAAATAGAAACGACGATCGATCAAGATTGAATCGCTGAAGAGGAGAGAAACCGAAATTGCGCGAAGAAAAGATGGTGGTTAAAACTCAAAGGTGGACTAAAAAAGATTAAAACGAGTAAATTAATGAATTAAGATTATCGAGTTAACAAGTATTACTAAGTTAATCTGCTTGCTGTGTGATCATGACGCGCATCCGAGACACGCCACTCCACGTGCATCGTAGACGAATCAGAAGAGAACCACGCAACTGTATCGATACACCTACTGTCTCTCTCTATCACGTACACATTTATTAAAATACACACACACACAAACATACACAGGTACGTGTACACGTCCGTCTCACTGTGGGATACACACGCTTCTTTTCGTGAATCCGAAATTGTCCGCTTCGAGGGTGTGTTCTCGCTGCTGCCACCCACCCCTCACCCCCTTTTCTCTTACATCGATTCGATAGATAATCCGCATTTCTTTCGAGAAGCGTAATTTTCAGCGATTGATAGATGTTGATTCGTGCTCGGACTATTACATCAGTTCGTACTACTGAACTTCACTCTGTTTCTTAGAACGATTGGATTTTTTTGATCGATGGATGGTCGCACAACGTGGATACATATATTTTTTGCATTATAAAATGTTGAACATGTATTTTTAAGAAAGAAATTTAAAGAAAGGATGAGAATTAATTTGGGACAAAATTCTTTAATTATTTGTAGAATTTGCAATTCTCTTCTATATATATATATCCGGATTGGAAATTCTACAATGACTTGTTAACTTGTTAAAAAATCGGCTTAAGAAAATTGTACGATCGAAATTCAAACTATTTTTATTAAGGGAATATCGAGTAATATCCTATCGAACCCGATATCGATATAATTCAGAGCACGAATCACTGCTGTCCGAGATATTGCGTATTGTCACGGATATATCTTTGCGCCACGGAAAAGTGCAATTTTTTTTTTCTTTTCTTAGGGGTGGTTTGTCGGGTCACGTTTGTCGATAGGAAGGAACGAGAAGATTTGTTCCCGCTGGTATTACCTCTGTTAAATAGCACAGGCGAAAATGCTGCACGCAACATTATTTTTTAAAATAGATAGATTTCGAATTTGCTGGCGGAAAATTCATCCGCGTGATCACGCGAAGGAGCACAAGGGTGTTACTTGCGCAGATGGTGAAACAAGTAACAGTAGTTTTTTCGCGGCCTCGTTGCTGCGCGTGAATCGATACGAGTGGCGCAGGACAGGCGAACCTTCACCCCTGAAATCGATGGGTAAAAATTGATGGGTAAAATAATTTTTCACACACCCTTGAACCTCGAAGTAACAATAATTGTTGTATTGTAATTTTCGATTAGTTCGATTCATTCGTTTGTGAATTGTCCTAATATATTTAATGTGACGATGATGGGATACATTTTTTTTTTTGAAGGATATTTAGAGGGTTGACAAGTATTATTCATTTTGTAACGTTTGTTTATCGTTAGTCTAAACTAGTGTCTAGAGTATTCATAGACTTGTAAGTAAGGATACACGTTTGTCGAATTGTCCACTCGGTTAAATTAATTTTCTTGCGAGAAATGTTATTTTTAATTTGTCTAATCGACCAAACAAATCGTATTCTCCTCATACGAAATTGATTTTCCACGCCTGAAACACAATCGCTGATTCGGACGATTTCGATCGAATTGGACGAAAAAAAAACGAGAGAGGAAAAATAGCATAGCGAAAAATATATAAGAACATTCTTTCTCGAGACGATTGATTATTATGGTGCTTGATCCGAAAAAAATATTTAAAGATATCTTTGTAATTAGGAATAATAATTTTCAACGTGTTCCATACATAATCATCGAAATCTCTCTGAGATGATGATCCCTCGCGTGTGATTCTCATTCGACGCGACGTCATTTTTCCAAAATTTGTTTAACACGTGAACGAACACGTATGTACACGTGTGTACGAAAATTTGTTACATCCATACAACATCTGCAACACGCGTGTACACACACACACACACACACACACACACATATACACGAATATACACACTAATAATCTATGGAAAGAAATAATAATTGAATTGTTTTTATGGATTAAGAACAAGTTGTCTGTGATCTACAATAATTAAAAGAATATTTAATAAGTATTAACATGGTAAATGCATAATTGACATGTCGATAATGTCGAACGAATCGGTTTTAGGGAATTAATAAATTAATATTAGAGAAACAAATATTGAGATGAAATGGGGAGGAATAGTTGCGGATGAAAAAAAGAGAAAGAAAAAAATATGGGATAATGTTGGGGGTTGATCTCTCGCGTTGACGGATACGAAAGAGCAATACGAAAGAATAGAAGAGGATGGGGAGAGAGAAATCGATAACGAAAAACGATTATCGCATTAACGACGTCATCACAAAGAAATTCTAGAGAAGAGGTATATTATATAAATACATATATATATATATATATAAACATTAAATAAATAAAGAAAGAAAAATAGAGATTTAAAAAAAAAATGGAGCACGCCATGTCTAAACAATATGTAATCGCTGCTGTTAATCAGTAATAATTCGCGATATATAAAGAGAAGAGGAGGGGAAAAATCAATTTGTGCGTGCTGCGTTCGAAGTACCGATTAAAAAAAATACTAACACAAAAAATTATATAAATAAATATAATAATAATAAAAAAAAAAATAAATAAATATATATATATGGCACTTGACCGTCGCGGCTAAAAAAGAAAAAAAAAAGTACATAGGATAGATAGATTTATAGAAGCGCAAAAAGAAAAAAAAAAAAACACCAAAAATCGTTCCTTCCACCCGCTCCGGCCGTGTATTTGATTATCGATTTTAAAATATATCGCATCTCATATAAAAGTCAAAGAAAAGCTCTGCGAACTTGTAAGCGCACCTCAGAATGCAATTAGTATGCCGTTTTAACTAAAAAAAAAAAGAAGAGAGAAAGAGAGAGAGAGAAATGAGATACGGAGAGGTGTGTAGTCGAACGGAAGCAAGTTGAGGGGAGAAAAGAAGAAACGGGGGATATGAATAGGAGATTTGAAAGAATGAATAAAAGAGATTGATAATTTAAAAAAAAAAAAAGACCACAATCACCGAGTAATAAGTTGTTCAACGAGCGTTGCGAAAGATGTTCGAGATAATTTTTGTACAGTTTTGGCACAC